AATCCCAGTACTTTGGGAGGCTGAGGCAGGAGGATCACTTGAGGCCAGTAATTCAAGACCAGCCTGGGCAACATAGCAAGACCCCATCTCTAAAAAAAAAAAAAATTTTTTTTGAGGACTTGCTTTGTGTCAGACATTGTTCTAGGTGTATTACAAATAGAACAGTGAACAAAACATAAAAATGTTTTGCCTTCATGGAGCTTAAAATTCTTTTGGTGCAAACATTAAACATTAAACAAACATTTAAAAATCTAGTATTTTAGAGAGAAGTACTAAGGACAAAAAATAAAACAGGGATGGGGATAGGAAGTACTGAGGATGAAAATGATATCTTTCTTATCAGGTTGACATGAGAATTAAATGAGAGAATATATGTAAAGTGCTTAGCACAGTGCCTGACACTCAGTGCTCAATTTTGACTCTTGTAATAATGCTGATTTTTTTTCTTGATCAAATTTGTTAGTGGTTAGGACAGTTTCTTGGGCTTTTTAGGAACTAGCGCATATCTACCGTTATTTGGATTGCTTTTTTGTTAATTTCTCCTTTTATCTTTCTGAATTCCTTCTTTCTGCTTTATTTTGGTTTAATTTTTGACTTCCTAAGTTGAATGCTTATTTATTTTCATCTTCTTATTTTCTAATAAGTGCATTTAAGGCTGTATATTTTCCTCTGAGTACTTCTTTGACTATTTCTTTTGCCATATAGTATTCTAATCATGATTTATCTTGTAATATACTATAATTTTAGTTTTCTTCTCTAATCCAAGAATTATTTAGAAGTGCTTTTAGAATTTTTCCAGGTAGTTGGGATGTATTTATTGCTTATGTGAATGCACCTAGCTTTTTAGTTTTTCTGTCTGGTTTTCTTCATTGTAGTAGACAATTATATCTTAAAGGTTTTCAACTTTTAGGAATTTTCTTTGTGATTGAACACAAGATCAGTTTTGTAAATGTTGTACTGGATATTTTAAAAGTATGTATACCTGATTTGTCGAGCCTAAAAATTTGTGTGTGTGTGCTTATTGAATCAAATGTGATACCTTTGTGATTCACATTTTCCATATTGTTAGTTACTTCTGTTGCTAAGACAGAAAGAGAGAGAGTTATTAAAGTCATTCACCAAGATAGGGCTTTGACACTTTTTTTTTTGAACTTTAGGAGATTAAAAAACCCCTACTTTATAGAAATATAATTTACATACAATAAAATGCACAAATTTTAAATATAAAGTTCA